TAAATGTCTCCATCTTTAACAAAAAATACCATAAAATGCACCTGTGTGTATAGGAACCTATTTTCATTTCCACACCTTTCTCTAAAACAAAAGCTGTTGATGCAGTCTCAGAGGTGTCTGAGAAAAAGAACCTACAGAAACTTTAGGAATAAGAGCACTTTGCAGAGATGAAAACGCTACAGCCAAGAGCATGGGAAGGGAAGGAGAAAGCCCTGACGATAGTGAAATGAAATCTGGGATTATCAACCACGCTGATAATTGTTTTTTAAGTGTAAACAAGGCAGAAGATGAAAAGAGAGTTGGCATTTCAACCCAAGAGCAACAGAGCACCTGAATGGCCCCGATGTCTCTGCTGAGAGTGCATTGATGCTTCTATTCTGCTTTGTCTTGTTGTGCCTTGAAACACTCAACAGCCCTAAGAGCTCCTCTGGCTCCCTGCCCGGCCTTTCTGGCTCTCCCCAGCACAAATGGCTTTTCCCTCCATTTCTGATGTCTTGATTTCACTCGTGGTCATCAAAAAAGAACCCCAAAAAACCCACCCCCCACAAAAAAAAAAACCCAAAAAACAACAACAAGAACAAAAAAAACCACAAAAAACAAAACAAAACAAAAAGCAAACAAAAAACCCAAACCAAAACAAACAAGAAAACCACCAAACACGAAGGAGGAAGGAAAATAAAAAGCAGAATCCTTTCGGCATCATCCAACACCCCCCCGCAGTGTGCCACAGCTCATCTCAGGACAGGCTCTGGCACAAGGGACAGCAAATACTTCGCCAGCCCCTCGTGGTTTTGCAGCCTTGGCAGAACAGTGTTCACAGGTGTCCCAGACCCTCTCCCTTTGCACCTTGTTTGGCAGGATCAGAGGAAAGCACTTGGTTTTACAGCACCAACCAGGCCAATCAGACACGGTTATGGTGCTCAGCTGGACAAAATAAGCTCCTCTTGTCTCTCTAGAGGAGCCAAGAGAGAAGGACATAAACTTTAGAAAGCAATGTACTCATGCACCGAGCTCTTCCACTTACAGGAAACTCATTTCATCTACTCCAGACACTACTGCAAACCAAAGCTATTTCCAGAGTTACCAGTTACCTTGTGGGACAGTCCTACAAAATTTTAAATGGGTGAACCAAGGATAATTTGCATCAAATGTACTCACTTGTTACTGGGGTGTCATCAGCACCATTGCCAAAACCTACTCTTTTTTTACCAAAGCCCCCAGCACAATTTAGTGATGCCAGCTGTAGCTCTGGAGCCAGGGGCTGTGCAGTACTTTTGTCAGCACACAATAGCCTCCTCCTGGCAGATCAGAAGACAAAATGGGATATCCAGCAGAAATATGACATAGCAAGGTCTGAGCAAACTTCATTTTGATCACCAGCCCATCACTGAAATGCTGGTCGAGAGTAACACTGAGCAGTAAAACAAGTCTGGGCCACTCACTGCTGCAGAAATCAAACTTCTTACATGAGATGCTTCCAAACACCATCACAAAGGGGTTAAATTCACCTAATCCAGGCCAGAAATGTAAAATTTACCTGCCACAGCTATTGTGCAGCAATTCCTATGCATAAAGATCCTCCATCTGTGGGTTATGGGATTTTTTCTGGTCCTTGCTGTGACACAGCCACTTCTAGGACTGAATCACAGTCCCAGCAACTCACCTAATCCAGGATCTGAACTTGGTTTCAACCCACACCTGCTAAACCAGAGCAACCTTAGCCCAGAGCCAGCTGAACTGCTCCTCCAGCAGAGCATCTTGGCCAAGGAAAGGATCAACACTTCCAGTTTGTTATCCACACAAGAACTGCTGGGATCCTGCACAGAAAGGTGACTCCTCCAATAGAGCCCAGGTACTGAACAGGCAGATCCTGAGGAGAGGCAGAAATGGGGCCGTCACATCACTGGGATGTTTTGGAAACTCTCCCTGGGTTTCAGGCAGAAGATGCTTTGCTTTCTGGGAAAGGGACTTTCCCAAGCTTCAGCCTCCCTCTATTCCCACACCAGGACCGTGCTAGGACTTGGTTTGTAATTTATACTTTTCAAAAAGCACATCAAAAGGAGCAGTTCATCCCTCTAAAGCTGAGGGACATTCACGTGTCTTCTGACTCCCTCCCAGTGCTGCTGTAGCCACGGGAACACCTCTCACTGCAGCCTGCAAGCAGGGGGAAAGTGTTTATCCCACACCACGGGCTATTTCTTTTCTCCTTCCCTCTCCCACTGCAAAAAAAAACCCCTTTGCTGTCTCACAAGAGCATCCCCTCACTCCCAGCTTGAGGCAGGACACCACTGTCCTGACATTTGTAAACTCCCGTTTTGAACGACGACTCAGCACAAAACTTAACTTGTACAACCTGGGCTCCGGGCTTGGCCCCTTTTCAAACCTCCCCAGTGCTCCCCCCCGGCCGGACAGAGATCCACACAGCCTCCCAGCTAATTGAATTTTAATGAGAGGAAGTCATTTTTCCACTGGAAGAATGTTGTGCTGGAGAAATATTTTGAAACTCCTTCCAACCTTTCCTGCCAGGCTTTTTTTTCTGCAGCAGAGCAGGAGCGAGGAAGTTCCCAGCCCGCCACTCGGTTGTGCTGCTCCCCTCACAACCCCAGGCGGACCTGGAGCTTAAATAATTGCAACTTTCAAAACAAAAAGCGTTTGGGGGTTGACTTGATTTCAGTTCTGACAAGAATAATATGAGTTCCTACTAGTTAAAGCTCTTGTGCTGAGACACAGTCAATCCCGGGCCTCCACAATTTTGTTTTCCACCCCACTCCCACCTAACTGGGTTATTTTAATTCCCAGCAAAAGCAACAAAGACATAAGAGCCATAGATGCAGAAAACACTGGGGAACATCTTGTTAGCTGAGGTTTGCAGAGCAGTTGCCTACAGGACAGCAGCAGCTTCATCCCATCGTTCTGCACGAATTCCAGAAGTTATCAGCTTTCCAGCAATACATAAATTTACCAGTTTACACCCATTTTCCATTGTCTTGAGCCACAGTTTTCCCTGTACAGTTTCTGCTTAGTCTTGCAGAAAGAAGAAAGGAGGAGCCAAAGGAAATGAAGTTGCTGAGATATGAAGGAAATTAGGTTATAGTCCACTGCCTTCAGAAAACCTATTACACTGGGTTTAAAGCTGCTGGTATCTTGAGTAGGGTGTGATGAGGGTGACAAAAAAAGGAGGATAAATACCAGGACTAGAGAGGGTTTTATGTACAAGTTGTATAATATCAGTACATATAAGACAGAGGAGAAAAGTATTTTCTGATTATGCAGTTCTCAGTAAATGCCTGCAAATCTTGTAGCTGCACCTCATACCCAGACCAGGGAACAGCTCCAGTGGAAGAAACACTCCATTCTATCCCACCTCCCAAGGCTGAGCAGGTTTCACAGCCCCTCTGAGTTTATACCCTGAAATAAGACCTTTCCAGCATTGGGAGCCATGATCAACTCCATAGAAAGGTCTAAGAGAGGAGCTGGGACAGCACTGCCACCTATAAACACATGTTCCCATCTTGGCAGAGGAATCAGTTTGTCCTAAATCCAGGTGAGCCCTAAAAGCCCCCTGGGAGCACCTCAAGCTTCAGAGGCATTTATGGAAAAGGTTCTACTTTACAACATGAAGGGAGTCTGAAGAGCAGGTTTCTCATCCGCTCTGGATGCCATTCCAAGAACTTTAAGTGGATCTAACAGATCCCTGGATCCATCAGCTCTCCCCACAAGAGCTCAGCACTTTATGTAACAGCTCCCCTCAGAGCACAGCACCCTGTGCAGCTGCTGAAATATCTGACAGAACGTCCAGTGCTTGTGAAAGACGCCCCAGTGCCCATTAAACCCAGCTTATATTTTCCATTTTAATTGTTAAACTTCCCAGGGAAAGTCCCTTAATTTAATACCGTTCAGAGATTCAGCTCTAACTCTGTAACTGGGATTTGGGAAGAGCTGCTCAGTCCACGCATTCTTGCTCTGTTTACAGCAGCCCAGCTCCCAGATGTTGGTAATATTAAAACAGGCTGGAAATTTCCTTCCAAGTGACAGCAAAATGCAGACAAGAGCTGGGTTTGCTATGGCTCTAATTATCCATGGATAGGAGATACTCTCCCCATCCCCTTGCTGGGCTGGGGGGGAGGCCCAGGAGATACAGCTCTTTCCCCACATAAATTCAAAAAAGTAAGGAGATAGAGATCAGTGGCTCTTGGTTTACACTCCACTGCACTGGAGTTGATTTCAGGGAACAGTTTTAGCTTGCAAGAAAGATCAGGAACAAGAATCTCATCCGCATGGAGGTCTCAGAAGTGCAGCAGAGCGCAGAAGTTGAGAGTGCCAGAGAAATGCATACATTAAACTAGTTGCTGAACTATGGGAAAAACTTCTACCATATGTACCTTGTCTATAAATAATCCTCTATCTCTTTGCTTAAATCAGAGGAGCTCATGGGAACTTTCCACCCATCAGGGTTTCGAAAGCAGTCGCTGTGTGGGAGGTGACAGGGCTGCCAAACAAGCTGTCAAGGAGAGTCCCCTTTTGTCATGGTGCAAGAAACCAAGAATCCATGGCCAATGCATGGAAAAAAAGAGCAAATTCCTACAGCCTCAGAGTGAACTGTGACTTGCAGGGGAGCTGCTTTCCTGAGCCTTCGTTTACTGCCACTGCAGCTCTATCTAAATCTTAACAGGGATGAATGAAAACCTGGTGAGCCCTTCCCATGTTACACGTGCCAAGAGCTACAAAATCCCAGGGCAGAGATGATCTAGAATTCCAGCAAAGGCATATAACCAGAGGGGCTCACTCCACCAGGTCATCTGGCTCACAATTTAACCGTTACTACGAGCGGCGTTTACTCAGCCAAAATAAAAACTTAAAATAAAAATTACGTACAACACTGTTCTGCCTTGTGAAAACCCAATGCAAGCTGCAAAACTGAGCTGTAAATATCTCAACATCCAGAACCCAGCTCATCACCTCTGTGGTACAACCCAGAGCTGCTCCTTGCCACGACTCACCTCAAAGACTTCCTCATCCAATATCCTCGTTCCAAACACGATGATGCCATTGACGTCAATGATGGGATGGTCGCTTCTGTCCAGGAACTTGGTTATCTTCTTTTTACAGTCCAAAATCAAGGTGACATTTTTCTTCTGCACGCTGAGAGCTACTCTGTGCCACCTACAAGAACACAGCCCACAGATGTGTTAAACAGGAACCTTGGGCTTTCTGGAACAAACTAATGATTGTGTAACAATGAATTTTCATAAAGGGACGTCCTGAAATTCCTGGAAATTCTCCTTGGGCAGCTAAAGATTTCATTTGAAATACAAAGGCTGACTGAGGAGAGGCCATTCACTTTTCATCCCTCCAAAACAGGTAAGAGAAAGCCAGTTCTGGCTTCAGCAAGAGGCAGAGATAAAAACCACACAATGACTCCATGGTTATCCCCATTTTCCACCCTCCTTATGCCCTGAAAAGGTCTCAGTGGGGATTTTGCAAGACAAACTTGATTTCTTAAGGCCCTTTGCAGCAAAAGTTCCTGCCTCCATCAGTGTCAGACTGTGGCACTGGCTAGTCATTCACACTTCTTATATATGTAATATTTATTCACCAAAGGCCAAAATTACACACTGGGACATTTGGCAGCAGTCAGAGGTGTGTATATACATTTACATAGGCATGACTCCTATTTTACACAACGTTCAACATGCTGGTATTGATATAAACAATGAACTGTTTTTCCTTTGTGCACAAAATTTCACTTACTTGCCATCTGCAAGGTTAATGCCTCTAAAGAGAGGATAGTCTTCTGGGCCTGGCTTTCCTGTATGGTCTTCATACAGGAATACAGGAGATCTACCCAACTCCACACCAATTTGCTGGATCCCTTGCTCATTGTAAATTGAGATCAAGAAGGACTGACCTCCTTTCTTCGCTTTTACAGTGGTTAGAATGGAGAAGTCCTCTGGGAATGGGGAAGCTGGAGTGGAAAAGCAAAGAGGTTAGTCAGGTTTCCTTGAAAATGAACCCCTACAGAAACAGTCCTGCTGTCTCATAACCCATGGGAAGACCTCTGGTTTCTCTCTCCACGTGTGTGCACACCAGCAACCTTAAAAACTCACGTGGGGCCAGGTGAAATTTGGCTTTCACCCAAAACTTGTTGAGATACAGGGTTGGGAGGGGCTGAATCTCAAAGTGGGTTGGACCAGCAAAGCCAGTGTAGAGCAGTGTCCCCAAGGGACACCCAACCCCTCTCCTCAGTGTGCTCCTAACCCTTCCTTAATGTGCTCTAGAGCCTTTTAGGAGACAAGGCAAAACTTTGTTTCACGTATCTTAAGGTCCCCAAAGGAACACAGGGAAAGGAACACAACAGATCACTTTTAAACTGCACATGTGTAGCCATATAAACCACAGAAAACATCAAGCTCAGTGCCTATAATCTTCAAACATCTTTCCTTCTCTCCTTTAGGCTTTTCTTAGATGTTATCCCAGGGCTGCAAAAGGGATTTTGAACCAGGGAGGGGATGAGGAACATGGCAGTGGGGAATTCTTCCAACCACAGCAAAGTTAGAGTTCAAATGAGCTCAACCTCTCCTCTTCTGCCTGGGAATTGCTTTAACTTTTATGGACCACCAGTGTCTTAAATGCATTTATCTGCCTAGCACAGGGCAGTGGAGGAGGCAGGAGAAGGCTGGGCTGCATCAAAATCAGCCCTGAGAGGATACCAAGGGGGAGAACTGAGGATACCTACAGAGACAAACACAGTTAATATCCCTCACCTTGGTTAAATAATATTTGGAAAGCAGCAGAAAGCAGAGTTCTGCAGAGAGGACCCGCAGTCAGTAATTAAATGCCAGGATTATAGCCTGATTTCCCCCCAGGACAAAGACCCAGATATTTGGCAAATGCAGCGTCTGATTTTTGTGCCTCCCATAGGATGCACTGAGCTTTATCTCCCTCCTGCTGTACACAAATCCTCCTGTAGCTCTGAATCAAGACCATACGCCTTCCTGGTTCCAATTACAGGCTACAGATTTGGGCCTTTTATGTAAAATAGTTCATGTCCAAAATTTCATTATGAATCCACAATACAGTACCTTTCAACTTGGCCAAGCTGCCAACTCATTAAAAAGCTGCTTTTAATTTTTTTTTCATTATTATTAAAATGTCTCCATGGTGATGCGAGTTTCTCAACCCAAATAATCATAATGGATGAATTATAGCTGACATTACTCTGTTACTGCTCTGCTGTCCTGGCAAAATAACAATGCCCTCACTGTCATAGCTAGAAATGACCCAGGCTAGTCCATGATGTATGAAAACACATCCACACAGGCAGCAATACTAATAAATACAACGTAATAAATATATGAAGCACACAGAAATTGACCCAAATCCCCTTAAAAACAGTGGGGACACCCCTCCAACAAAGGGTTTGGGATTGAGTCCTCATACTTGATTCACTCTTCAAACGAGCTCACGCTGAGAGATGTTGCACATCCATCACTTAAAGGCACCGCACCAGTGACGAGTTTGGTTTGGCACCCTCCTCCCACCCCCTGGCCAAATCCTCTCCAAATCACTACATGTGACCTCCTTCGAAGCAGCAACAAGGGATGAAGAGCCCAATTCTGCAGGTGGAGCCGTAGAAAAAGCTGCCCAGTGCCATCAGCTTCACTGGAGCAAGTGTGTCTGTGGAATGCTGCGACAGATGAACCAGCAGGGTCAGGCTGAGTCTCTTCTCCTTTCTTGAGCACCATGGCCAGGGATGAAAGGCTTGTATGCAACCTCCTGGCCTTCAGAGCAGGGACAGCTGGGGCTTTCTTCCTAATCCAGGTGTATCCAGACACAGCCTAAAATAAAGAGCCCCCTGCTCCTGATCTGCGAAGGGCAGGAAAGGTTTAACTGCTTGATAGCAAAAAAAAAAAAAAATTATAATCAGCAAAACCAAGGAGCTGATCCAGTTCCTGACACAAACACAGGGTGAGGTGGTGTCATTTTCCAGAACCTTTCCAGTTTTCAAAGGAAAACAGCTCTCCAATGGTTTTAACAACTTCTGGTCTTTTCCTTCATCTGAGAAGACTCAATGGAGAAATTGCTTTTTTTCCTCAGAGGTGACTGTTCAGGCTAAAGCAGAGATTTTCGAGAATGCAAATGACAGTTGAAAATTTGACCGAGGAACACAAATGACATTTTTCTGGCTGCCCCTGAAAACTTTGCCTTTCTTACTACTTCTGGTGGAAAAGCACGGCCTTTGCTGGGAAGCAGAACTTATTTAGGGAGAACAGACAAAAAACATCTCAGCAAATTTTTCTCACTCTTCAGAGCTTGCAAAAACAAGCAAGTTTATGTATATATATATATTATATATATATATCTTGCTTTGCTGGCTGTGGCAGCAGAATGCAAAGCCCATCAAATTACCATCTTAGAAAAGCACTGACTTCTAATTAGCACAAAATATTCTGTGCAGAGCACGTTTGCCAAGGGTGCTCCATAGCAGGGAGGGAAAGTCATGCTCCAACCCACCCGCCTGGTAACGGGAAATCACTAAAACCACATTTCCCCTGGTACATTGCACCACAATTACTTTGTTATCTTCATCCCCTCTCTCTCTCATTTGGTGGTGTGAGCTGAAGTCACATCTAGTTATGGAGACATAAAGAGGAAACATCTGTTGATCTGATAGGAAACACCAGGACTTCTTCACTTTGCGCTTCCCTATTTCCTCAGTGAGCAGCAGAGAACACTCCAGGACTTTGGAAGTCTCCAGAGAGGGACTGAGCTGCTTCAATAACCCCATGGTTGTCCAGATGATGAAATGATTGGAAAGTTGCTTGATGGCACCAAGGAAACACCATCCAGGTCTTCCAACCCAAGGAAGGCAGTTGATGCAAACCAAGAACTGATTGATGACATCATGAGTAGTGAGGTGGGACAAGGGCAAGAAAGTCTCCTCCAGTGCCAAGTTCTCTCCTGTGACCACGATTTGGTCCCTGCCTGTTGTCTTGTTGTGTTAACCTGTGTCAGAACTGGTGTGATCCGGTCTCCTTGCTACGTTTAATCAGGCAGAATATTCCATCCTTTGTTTTATATCTTGGGGTCACCACTGTTTGCTGGTTTCTCTAAAATAAAACGTGATCAGGCAAAATTTCACAGTGGCTACAGAAGATACTGGTAAGCTCTCAAATCCACTCCAGTTGTATATTCCAAACTGGAAACATTTCCTGCAAACCCTTTTTGAGCTTGGTAGACACCAGCTGGACCAAAACTTTGAGTCATTTCAGATACATGTCATGGAGGGACATGATGGAACATCAAGGCCCAGCCTGGCAGAGGGGATGCAGTTGGGCACACGATGGTATTATCTGTTGTCAGAAAGGACTGTTCTGCCCTGGGCAACAATAAAGACAAATATAGGGTCTGTTTTGCCTTTCTGCAGACATTTGAACAGGGCTTTAGGCAGCTCCTTTGCTAAGGGCTGACCACGTGATGATGGGCTACCAGCCTGTCCAACACTGTTCTCATCTATCTTCATGTCAGGCTCAGTTTGTGCGCAAGTCACAGGCTGTGCTCCTGCTCACCATGGCTTAAATACAATTCACCTACTTGTTGTCACAGCAGGACAATAATGAAGCCTGAAAATAACCTCAGTGATAACACATGCAGTGAAACAACAAAGGAAACACAGGAGCAACTCCTGCCATTCCTGTTCCCAGCACCCCCATGTGAAACAGGAATATCCCAGTGCTCCTGTGTGGCTTGGGAAGGAAGATTTCTGATGGTGGCTACACGCTCAGACTGAGGCTCTCACGCAGGCACTGAGGAATTCAGGTCCATAATGTGTCCAGCCTTTTTACAAACACATTTCACTCCGTGGCAGTTTCCCTGAAAAATCAGACTCCTGTGCATCCTCAATCAGAAATAAAATGGTCAGTAGCCCACGTGCTCTCCAAGGGCTTTGTGAACTCCTGCATCTTTGTGGCTTCCTCTAATGAACCTCCCAGCTCTTCAAACAACTTTTCGTGGGACATCTGTTCTTGTGGGACAGTCTATTATTTTTATATGGTGATTATTTGTGTTGTGAGAGACACCACAGCCACAGAATAAGACCCCACTGTGCTTGGCACTCCACAAACACGGAATAAAACACAGCCTGTGTTCCTTTGCATCCTCCAAGCCTCTCTCCCCAGCTGGGTGTCACCGTGTGATAATGAGAGAGCAGAAACTTTCCAACCTAGGAGGGAACAGATGCAGGCACTGGCCACATCTTCTGCAGTGAAACCCACCACCACCTGCAAATGCAGTGATAAAAGAACAACTGCTGCAGTTTTTATTTGGTGGCTGGAAGTTTTCAGCCCCCTGAAACAGCAGAATCAGTCCCTGCCAAGGGGGAGCGTGCAAACATACTTGGAAAATTAAGTGGTCACACTGTGTGCCTGCAGGATTTGAGGAAAGGGTCAGGTGCTTCCATATGATAAATAAAAAGCTGTGGACTCACCAGGATACAGCTGCTTTGTCGGTGCACTAAGCTGAGCATCTTTTGTTACTCTATAAGCAACATCTGCTTCTTTTGAAGACCTTCTGCTTGTGCAAAACCCTGTTGTTTTTGTTATACCATCAGGTAAATTATGAAAATCTAATACCTTCAAGAGGTCTGCAGGGTCAGCTGTAAAGAGAAAAAAAGAACACAAGAATTAGCAGGCAACAGGACGGGCACTTGCTCAGATCCAACTCAGTCTTAGCCTGCAACACACAAATCCATCATCACAACCTTAAAACCAGATGAAATAGGCTTTCAATACATCTGCAAATACAATGTTAATACAGCTTCAAAGCCAGCACGTTGTGCTGCTGGTCAAAGACACTAATTCAATGCAGAGAGGAGCAGCTGATCAGCTGTCTGCACCAGGACAGGAGTGAGAATGTGCTGTCTTATTAGTTACAGTAGTTGTATTTTCCTGGATGTCTTCACCCAGCCTCCATCAGTCAAGTGCATCCAGAAGATTAAGCATTAGACAGGAAATCCGTGATGTGAGAGGAAGGCTTTAAATCAACAAGTCATCCTCAAGCTGATGCAGGTCTAGCCCTGCCCAGGGTGAAACAAGGTGACACAGGGCAGGGATGCAGCACAGCTCCACCTCAGGCAGCCAAGTGTCTGGTTCCCACCAAATTATTCCCCAGATTTTCTCCCCCATGGCACTGGGATTTCTGCACAACCACCAGGGCATAGGAAAGTGCAGGTGAATGGTCAAACCCCTACATTTGCTTCACAGAAGTGGAAAAAAAAAATCTGCATTTTGACTAATGACATGAAGCAAAAGGCTCCTTTCCCTCAACCACATCCCATCAGGCTCATGCCCTGAGGCTCTAGTTAATGAAGAGACCTTGTTTGACACCCTGAGCTCCCCACACCAGCACAGTCAGGGCTAGTTCACCTCCAGATGTTCAGGTCTCCAGGACATCAATTAAGTAATGCAAGTGATACGTCTCATTAACTTCCTAATCTGGTCTTGCTCACGTCAGGAGAGATGGAGTCTCCAGAAGTGGAATAACCAGATCTGACTTTAAACCCTTAAAAGAAATTGAATTTTGACCTTATAGTTGGAGCAAAATGCTGTCAGAAATATGACCCACCCAACTCAAACCCCAGCAGTGCCCAAAGCAAATTGGCCTGTGCTGCTTTTGGCTGGGGTAGAGTTAAATGTCTTCACAGCAGCTGATATGAGGCTCCATTTGGGATTTGGGCTGAAAACAGTGCTGATAACAGAGGGATGTTTCCATTACTGCTGAGCAGGGCTTAGGTGGAGTCAAAGACTTTTCTGCTCCTCACCCACCCCACCAATGAACAGGCTGGGGGTGCACAAGGACTTGGAGGGGACACAGCCAGGACAGCAGCCCCAGGGATATTCCACCCCATATGGCATCATGTCCAGCATAGAAAGCTGTGGAAAAAAAGGAGAAAGGGGAACATTTGGAGTGATAATGTTTGTCTTCCCAAAACACCATCATGTGGGATGGAGCCCTGCTCCCCATGGCTGAACCCCTGCCTGCCCGTGAGAAGTGGGCAAGAATTCCTTGCTTTGCTCTCCTTGTTTTACCTACTGAACTGGTTTTTATCTCAACTCCCCGTTATTTCCCCCCCCCCCCCCCCCCCCCCCCCCCCCCCCCCCCCCCCCCCCCCCCCCCCCCCACTTCTCCTGATTCTCTACCCCATCCCAACTGGCTGCATCCACAGGGAAGGGCTGCACCACATCCATCAGCGCCGAACACAGACGCTCCAGCAACGGAAAGGAACAGCATGAACACATCTTTTACAATATCAAAAAGTTTTGGTTACCAAGAAGATCAGCCTAATATTTGCATGGAAAACTCATGCACATTGTTAGGCAGTTTTTAAAACTTTCCATAATCCTGAGAAATTGGGCCCTCGGTGAGAGATTACAAACATATGGCAAATCCAAGTGAGCGCTGCAGATAATAAAGGAGCTGAGGGAGCCTGGCCTGAGCAGCACACAGCTGTAATATTTCCTCATCTCTCATTCTCGCTAGACAGTGCATGGATGACACATTTGTCTAAGCTGTCCTTGCCACTTGGATCTTCCCACTGCCTTTCCACCGTGTTCTATTTCACACAGAAGTATCTGCACACACACACACACAGAGCCCAAGTTCTGCTTGAGCAGCTAAAAGTACAATAAAACTCCGCCTCTGCTTCCAGTCACATCCCTGTGCTCCAAGAGATCCAGAACAGCCAGCTCCTAAGCTGCCTCCAACATTTATTTAGGGAGCAGAGGGGGAAAAGCAAAGGGGGAGGGGATGGGAATTCCAGAGTCCTGACATCAGCTGGGTCCCCACGCCGGGTGCAGGGGGTTTGAGCCTCGCTCAAACGCTGCACATCAGCCATCCAGAGGTGTTTGCAGGAAGAGAAACATCTGCAGATGAATCCATGGCCTGGAGGCTCAGCTGCTGTTATGACAAAAGCTGTGTGAACATCCTCTCCGTTGGCAAGGCAGTGCTCCTGCAGTGGTTACTCCTCCAGGAGCCTCCAGCCATGAGCAGGCAGCAGGTTTGGAGCTCCAGCCCCTGCCTGGAGCCTTCTGAGCAACCCCAACCCTTCACCAGTGCCCTGGTGCAGCTTTCCTCCTTTGTAAAGGATGATTCAAAGCAGCTGCTGCCTCCCTGCACTGCTGGGAGCCTCCAAACACAACCTGCAATCCTTCACTGCCAAGGAAGCCCCTCTGTACCTCCATGACTATGATGAATTAGGTCAAAGCGAGATATTAAAGTAGAAAAACAATCTGAATACTGTCCAAACAAACTGCAAACCTCACAGGTAACCAGCAGGAGAGGAAAACCCTGATCACAGAGGTGCCTGAGTGTCTCACCTCTGCTTGCTCCTGGAAGTCAAGGAGGGATTGAGGTGCCAGTGAAAGCCCCACAGAACACTCATGCTGCGCTTCATCACTAAGAGCATCATTTGAGTAGGACTGAAAATCCCCTGCTCTTCCTAGAAAGATGAGCTGCACACAGGAGCAGCTCTCATTCCTGAGAACTAATCAGTTCATTTATTTCCCCTTGATTTTTCAGCCACATCTGAACTCAGCGATCTCCTGTGGGAGCTGTGACAGCCTCGTGCACAGGACAGAGACCTGACTGACCAAATTCAGGCTCTGCAGGGTATTTCTTACAAGTTTGCACTGGGCTTGGCCTTCCTCTGAGAACTGAATTAGCTGTTGCTTTATGAAAGCTTTTCCTTTTTCACTTGCTGTTTTATGAATAAGATCACTATGCAGCATCACACACAGGAATGTTCTTTACTCGAGGTGCACAGGCCCCCCAAAGAAATGAGCAGCTCTGTCCCTGCTGTGTCAATATATCCAGCACACAGAGAGGCAAACCCCAAATAACTAAAATAGACCAAAAATCAGAGCAGAGGCTGCCCCAAAAGCCTGCACCCAGCAGTCTGTAAAGCCCTTGAATAAGACCAAAAGGGAGCGTTACTTCCCGTTTTAACAGGGCAGGGATGTCAGGACCTAAATATGCTCTGTAAAAGCCCAGAGAAGAAATAGCAGAGTATTGGAGGAAGGAATGGAAAGATAAGAATTAGTGTCAAAAGGCTGGCTTTTGTTCAGTTCCAAGGAAATGTGGAGCTGGGAGTGTTCAAGGCCAGGTTGGACAAGGCTTGGAGCAACCTGGTCTAGTGGAAGGTGTCCCTGCCCACAGCAAGGGGTGGAATGAGATGATCCCTAAGGTTCCCTTCCAACCCAAACCATTCTGTGATTCTATGAGCGATTTGCTGATGAACCAAGAGTGGCAAAAGGAGGAATTAAATCCCCACTTCCTCCATTACCACAATTAAACCTGAGACCAATCTTCCTGTGATCATCTAATTCTTAATTATTTAAATACCTGTTAAAACCTGGAACAGAGGCAGCTGGCATTAAGTCTATAACTCTGCCTTGACCCACCAGACACGTTTTTTTTTTCCCTCACACATCAATATTAGAGCAATTCAAGCAGGATTCATTGACACAAACTCCCTGGCTTTGGGCTGGGCTCAGGCTCCAGTCAACACAGAGCCGGTGTGGCCATACCCTGCCACCCCCTCTACAGCCAAACCACCCTCTTGGACTCACCCATGGGATGCAGGAGCAGAAATACCCCCCCAGAACTCGAAAGGAGACCAGAGCATCATTAACACCTGACATGGAATATCAGAGCACACCACACACCCCTCCCTGGGGGCAAACCCCATTCCCAACATGACTGGGTTGTTCAACCTCACCTTTCCTTCCCCTGGCTGTTGCTTAAGACAAATTTTAAGAGGAAAAGAAGTCTTAAGCCCTGCTGATCCTTCAGGATATGTGCAATAATAAACAAGGATTTTATTTAAATGCCATTTCCCTTGCCAGTCACAGAGCAGGAGAGGGGACAACCAGCCCTGCTTTGGCTGCAGCGAAGGTCAGTTAAAGACTTTCTCCACACACCATCTACCACATGACCACTGTGTAAAGGTTGAAGAGTTTGATTTCTCCATCCTAATTTGTGTTTTCCCCTCCTAATTTTATCTTCCATGGCCAAGGCATTCCCCAGGGAAAGCTGTCCTGTCCTCTCTGCTCCCCTGTGAGGGCCCAAAGAGGGCCCAGACCTCTAGTTCCCTGCTCCACAACCTGATGCTCTTAAAGGTAGGATGGATCATCAGGAAAATAAGACATTATTCCACTCTCAAAAAAAAAAATCTCAAAAAAACCCAGAACAACCCAAAAACCTGATGAAAATTCTGCCGTTGAAATTCCAGGCAAGATGGGACTGCAGTTTCTGTAGACCACACTGAAAAAATCCCAGCATACACAGCATTAGCCAGAAGTCATAAATCTAAGCCATATTTATGCCTGTAATAATAATTTTTAACACCTGAAGCAAAGCTCATGAATGGGCCCCCAAAGCACTTCATGATCCGTAAGTTACTTATATGTTACTTGTGAGTATCCCTGTTTCCAGTGTCTGAAAAATTACCAAATTACAAGTAACAAACCTCAAAACAAATCTTGTTTTTCAAGCTCTTTAATTAAATCCTTATCCCCAGGGAAATCTGCAATATTTAAACTTGCCACTGAGCTGAAAGCTGGAGCTACTTAAGCCCTGCAGTGCTGGGGAGAGACATTC